GTTGAGAACCACTGGCTTAGGCAAAGAGTTTTTATTTTTATTTTTTTTAATTTTTTTTTTCAACGTTTTTATTTTTATTTTTGGGACAGAGAGAGACAGAGCATGAACGGGGGAGGGGCAGAGAGAGAGGGAGACACAGAATTGGAAACAGGCTCCAGGCTCCGAGCCATCAGCCCAGAGCCTGACGCGGGGCTCGAACTCACGGACCGCGAGATCGTGACCTGGCTGAAGTTGGACGCTTAACCGACTGCGCCACCCAGGCGCCCTGGCAAAGAGTTTTTAGACATGACACCAAAATCACAATCCAGAAAAGAAAAAAAAATACATTAGACTACATCAAAATAAATTTGCTCAAACAAAACAAAACAAGCCAGACTGGGAAAAATATTTCAAGTCAAGTTTCTGATAAAGGACTTATATCAAGAATAAGGAACTCTCTCGAAACTTGACAGTACAAATAGCCCAATTTGAAAATGTGCAAAAGATCTGAACAGACATTTTACCAAATGATGGTAAGTAAGCCCATGGAAAGATGCCCAACATCATTAGTTATTAGAGAAATGCAAATTAAAATGATAATGAGATATCACTGCACATCTATTAGAATGGGTAAAATATATAATTTTTAATGTTTATTTATTTTTGACAGAGAGACAGAGTGTGAGCAGGGAAGGATCAGAGAGAGGGAGATACAGAATCCAAAGCAGGCTCCAGGCTCCAAGCTGTCAGCACAGATCCCGACTCAGGGCTTGAATTCATGGACCATGAGATCATGACCTGAGCTGAAGTCAGACGCTTAACCAACTGAGCCACCCAGGTGTCCCTAGAATGCGTAAAATATTTTTTTTTAAGTTGAGGATGCCAATTACTGACAAAGATTTGAAGCAACTGGAACCCTCATACACTGCTGAGAGTAATGTATAACGGTACAGCTACTTGAGCAGTTTGGCAGTTTCTTATAAAGTTAAACATAGATTTACAATCTAAGAGCCAGCAATCTAGCTCTTAAGTATTTGCTTAAGTAAATTGAAAGCCCATGATCACATAAAGTTCTTGGGTATTTACAGCAATTTTATTCATAATCACCAAAAACTGAAAATATTCCAAATGTCTTTTAATAGGTGAATGGATAAATTATCTTTTTATCCATCCAGGCCATGCAATACATGCACAAAAGAGTTAACATAGAAGGCTACTATCTTTAGAAGGACCTGCTTACAAGGTTGGCCCTTTGCCGATGTCTAGAAACCTGGCACTTGAAACATTTCCTACGCTAAGCCCACACTGTGTAAACAATGTGATTTATGTCAAACACCTGCTTTCCTTCTAGCAGTCTGGAATTTTGATATTTGCTAGGCAGAGAGTGTCTATGTGACTATCACTCAATAAAAACCTTGGGTTCTGAGTCTTTAATGGGCATGATTGGGCAGAGATATTGCATACATTACTACATTTTCACATTTTTCACTGCTAGAGAAAGGAGCTTGCTTGGTGCATCCCCTCACAGGAGGGAGAGAGCATAAAGAAGTCTGTGTATGGATTTATCCAGATTCTACCTGTGTCTTTTACCCTTGGTGATCCTATCATGTATCCTTTCACTATAATACCTTATACATGAATGCTTCCATATGCTGAATCCCATGAGTTCTGGTAAATCTCTGAATGTGGGAGTAGTGCAGGGGCCCCCTGAAATAGAATACTACTCAGCAATAAAAAGAAATGAACTGTTGATACATGCAACAACATGAATAAATCTTCCATGCATTATGCTAAGTGAAAGAAGCTAAACTCAAAAGGCCATACACAGTATAATTCCTTTCATAGGACATTTTAGAAAATACAAAACTATAGCTACAAAGAACAGGTCAGTGGTTGTTAGGGATTAAGGGTGAGTGAAGAGTTTGACTACAGAGGGACAGCATGAGGGAATTTGTGCATGTCGGGGGTAGGAGGTGATAAAACTGTTCTGTTGTTCTATGTCTTGGCTATGGTGGTGGTTATACAACTCCATCCATTTGTCAAAACTCATAGACTTATACACCAAAAAGAGTAAAGCTTACTGTAAGTAAATTAAAAATAAATTTAAATTGTAATATAATTAACTGCCTTTCTATATAACCAGCAACAAATTAAAAAATTAAATTAAAAACATAATTTATAATAGCAACAAAACTACTAAAAACTTTAAGATAAACCTAATGAAAGACACATAACTCTGTGTTGAAAACTACAAACCAGAGAGAGATTAGAGAAGACATAAATAAATAAAAAGCTATACTACTCACAGATTGAAATACTACGATATTACAAAGACATTAACAATCCAGTTGAAATGCCAAGATACATTTTTTACCAGCAAAGTGATTCTAAACCTATATGGAAATATAAACTACAAGGGACAGCAAAACAATTTAGAACAACAAAGTATTAGTACATACTCTGCTGTATATCAATGCTTGTTATAAAGCTATAATAATTAATTGGACAGCCTGGTATTTGTAAAAGACTGGAAAAAGAGGAAACAAAATAAGGAGTCCAGAAAACGTCCTCTAATTTATACACATAGAGCCCCTTAATTTGTGACAAACTTTGCACCAAAAAGCTTAGGGAAGTTACAATCTTTTCAAAAGGGGATGCTGGATCAGTAAGACAGATATAGATAACTATAGATAGATAGATAGATATAGATATAGATATAGATATAGATATAGATATAGATATAGATATAGATGGAAAAGATTAAAAGTTGGCTCCTATTTCACATCACTACAGAAATCTCCAAGTGGAGGACAGATGTAATGTAAAAGTTAAAACAAAAAAGTTAACTAGGAAAGTTACTTTGTTGAATATTGTCATGTTCTCTGAATAGGAAAGTTCTTGAATAGGATATAAAAAGCTAATTATAAGGAAGAATATTGAAAATCGGACATTAAAATTTTCCAACTTCTGTTCCTCAATAGACACCATTACCAGAGTAAACGTAAGATCGTTTGCAACGTGTATAATGGACAAAAGTCTTGTACCCACAACATACGAAGAACTCCAAAATATAAATCAAGAAAAGGTGAATGACTAGTACAAAAACGGACAAGGGAGCTAAACAGGCACCTTATAAAAGAGAATATACAAAATGGTCAATGCACAATCAAAACGGTGCTCAACCTCGACAGTCACCAGGGAAACACAATGAAAATCCATATTGTAATTAAAATAACTGGCAATGTCAAGCATTAGTGAGGATGGGGAGCCACTGGAACTGGTGGGAGTGACACTCAATACCACCACTCTAGAATATGGGCAGTCCCACAAGAAGTGGGACATGTACCTACCACCCTAGGACAGCAATATCACATCCAGGCATATACCAACAATAATTAAGGACACATGCTAACACTAGTGCAGTTTGCCATTACCAAAACTGTAAACAACCCAGATATCCATTAACATTAGAATGCATAATTTGTAGTGTATTCAAAAATAGGTTATCATACAGCAATGAAAATGAGCAAAACACTGCTATACACAACTCATAATTATAATGTTGAGCAAAAGAGGCTAGATGCCAGTTACATACTGAATACTGTAGTTCCATTTCAATAAAGTTAAAAAGAACACAAACACTAATCTACAAAGCTAGAACTCTTCCCTTTGGGGAGGAAGCTGTGGGAGGGGACAAGAGGGTATTTCTAAGGAGCTGGTAATGCTCTATTTCTTGATTTGATTATAGGGTATGTTCACTTTGTGATATGCACTAAGCTATATACACTCAGGATTTGTTCATTTTTATGTATTTTTATATATATAGAAAATATATATTAATTGATAGTATATAAAATTAAAATAGAAAAATAGAAAAGACATGTATTTTATCTATTTTTTAAAGTTTAAAAACCCATAAATCTGATGGTGTCACTTGCTGTCTTAAAGTTATGGAATGATTTCCTATAACACTAACAAGGTCACCTGATGTGGCTCTTGGCTACCTCTGTCCTCAATTTACAGCCATCTCCCCTCTTTATCAACATGCTCTTCACTGGCCTTCTTACTTTCCCTAGCACATACCTAACTTGTTCTTGTCACAGGTCTCTATACTTGCTCTATCCTCTGCCTGCTAACCCTTCCCTGTCCTTCTCTGTGCCTACCTATTTCTCGTCATGGTTCCTCATTTATTTTCTTTAAGGTAATATAGTAAAAATTATTCTTTTTTTTCTAAATTTCTTGTCAAGTTAGCTTCTAAATTTCTTGTCAAGTATGCACATGCAGTGCATACAGTGTGCTCTTGGTTTCGGGAGTGGATTCCCATGATTCATGGCTCATATACAACACCCAGTGCTCATCCCCACAGGTGCCCTCCTCAATGCCCATCGTGGGTCCCCATTTAAACATCACCTCCTCAGAACTGCCTTCACTGACTATCTAATTTAGCACCTTCCCCAGACTTCCCAGTCACTCTCCACCCCTGGCATTAGTCAAAATTTTCCATAAAGGGCCAGATAGTAAATATTCTAGTCTTTGCAGGCCAGATGGTCTTAGTCATAATTACTCAACATTTCTGTCTTAGGGAAAGTAACTACAGGCAATATGTAAATGAGTGGGTGTGGCTATTCCAACAAAACCTTACTTATGGACCCTGATATTTAAACTTCATATCATTTCACATGTCATAAAATACTCTTCTTTTGATCTTTCCCCCCTAAGCATCTAAAAAGCTAAAAACTCTTCTTCACTTATAAAAAGGTAGGCGGTGGGGCTAGATTTGGTGAATGGCCCTACGTTGCCAACCTCTGCTTTAAGGTGACCCTGATTTACTTTCTTCCTAGCCTATATCACTACCTAAAATGACTTCAACTCTTCTTGTATTTATTGTCTATCTTCTCACACCCCTAAAATTTCTGCTCCAAGAGGGAAAGGCCTCATCTGTTTCGTTCTTCACGGTGTGCCCACCGCCCATCACCATGTCTGACACATGGAGGCCAGAAGCAATGAAGGCCCAAGCCTACCTGGGTGTGGTCATGGCTTTGGCTTGGGTCTTGATGGTCTTCCTCCAAGTGGGGCTCACGGAAACGGACCCATGCTCTTCCCTTGAAGACTCTCCAACTGAGGATTCAGGTCGGGCTGACCGAGATCGTAATAAAAGGACTTCTCCTGAGTATAAACTTGGCTTGGGGCCTCGCTCGACATAGGTACCCGATTTTACCTTGGTTCGATTGCTTTGTGCCTCTTCCTTAACCGGGTATTCTATGGTGAATAGGCCTGTTAACAGAAGACATGGCTGTCACTCTCCCTCATGGCCCAGCCTTCCCCGCCCTGCTATGAGGCTCTGCACATGAGCAGCCCTTCAGCTCATCTTCCTCTCCACTCCTCCACTCTCACACACTCACAAGCCAGGTCGCCTCTCTTCTGCTGTCTGGCATAGAACTCCACCCCAGTACAGTTAGTGGATTGGTAAATACTGGCTGAAATGTAAGAACAAATCAATCTTATTTCTACTCATTTGTCAAGACCCAGCTGAGATCCCTCTTCTGCCAAGGAGCCTGCATTTCATTCAGTTCTGTGTCCTCCACAGCACTCATAGAGGCTGGGTATACAATGCATCCATGCTGTTCTCTTCCCTGAGAATGCTGTTCCCTGTATCTCCAGATTGAAGTAGTTTCCATCTACTTTCTTTGTTGTGTTTATTTGTATTCTTGTTTTGCTTCTCCTACTAGACTTGAAAACTTCTGAGGCCCAGGACCTTTCATTCCTTCATTCACTTACCAGATGTTTATTGGATGCTAGACATATAGAGATGACCCAAAACAGGGTTCCCTACCTCTGAGAACTCCTAGCAGGGATACTGGGGGGATGGACAAGCAAAGAACTATTCATAATGCTAGGTAGTAAGATTTATAATTAGAGCACATTTTACATATGCTGTGGGAACCCAAAGGAGCATATGACTCATTCAGCTTAGGGAACCAGGGAAGGCTTTCTGGAGGAGGAGTACAGCTGAACTGAGTCTTTAGGGATGAGGAAGAACTCCTGGGAACACAGCCCCTTGGTGCCCAGCCAGGGTGGCATGGAATGGAAGTCACTGTTCCTCTGTCCCCAGGCCCATCAGCAGGAAGAAAGTCTAGATGTGGGAGCAGTTTTGAGGTCACCAGTCTGGCCCCAGGGGGAACACTGTAGCCTAACAAGGACAGACTGGTGAGCTGGCTGCTTTTTTCCCTTATACTGAGATTGTCCGCAAGGAGAGGAACAGGGTCTACAAATGGATGACGGGCAATATGGGAGAGCTGAAAGGTGAACCAGATGGGGACAGAGAGAGTTATAGAACAATGATGGGAGGTCCAGGAAAATAAGACAACCACAGGAGACACTGAGGACACATGGGACCATGCTCAGAAAACTGAAGGTGGCAAAGGCCACCACTACTTGAGACACGGCCCTGAGCAAGTACCCTTGCTTCGGGAGCCTGAGCCTTGTTACCCCATCTACTGATGAGGAGGTCGCCCTGCCCACCCACCTCCCCAGGTGGTAAAAAGCTGTCCTCAGAGATGCCTTGCAGGTGACCCAGGATTTAGGAAGTTATCTGACAGGCATCACTCTACTTTTCTGCTCCTTACCTGCTGCCAACAAGACAGAATTCATAAACTGTGACACTGTCTTTTGAAACCGCTTCTTGATCCCCACTAGGGCTCGGCTCATCTTAGACATCTTGTCGTCCATGCGGGTCAGCAGCTGGGGAGAGGCCAAGGGGGAGAGCATTGTTGCCTCCCCGCCAGGAGCCCAGGAGCCACTGGCTCAGCCCACCAACAACTAGGCCTTGCTCCAGCTTGGAGGATGTGCTGTCCCCTCTGCCTGGGACAGAGCCCTCTCCCCCTGCACTCAGGGAATTCCTGCACATCAGCCCAACCTGACTCAAATGTCCCCTTGTGGGAGGGCTTCCCTCCAGGAAGCAAAACTGTTCCTTGCTCTCTATGTAGCCTGAAGTCAAAAGTTAGCCCTTTATGAAGTAACTGGATGCATATGAGGCTGTCTCCCCCACTGGACTGTAAGCTCTTCAAGGGCAGGGACCGGATCTTGGTCTCTTTGGTGTCTGAGTGCCTGTCATGCAGAAGGTGCTCAATTAATGCTTGTTGCATTATGAATAACTAGATAGACAAGGGCCTCTTTGGAGTCCTTGCTGCCAGTCCCCCTCTATATGCATTCCCCAGAGTCCCTTTGTCCCCTACAGCTGCCAGGACATCTCAGATGAGAAACTGTGATCAAGCTTACGTAGATTGGTTCCTGTAGGGCACAAAGGCCCAGGCCTCTTGCCTCAGTTCGGGACTACCCTGAAAGGCCATTCTGGCTCTGAGGCCCTCTGTAGGACAGCGAGGCCTTTGCTGGGGCTGCCCCACCGTTCAACCTCTACCTCTGCTACAGCATTTCAGAGACATGTGGAATGAGGCTCAGATCTCGGAGTTCATGACAGTCGGCATCTGACATTTTCTCCAGGAAGCCTTTGTTGATTTCCTCAGCCAGGGGAAGTGCTCTCCATGCTAAACCAGCATAAGGGCCCATTGCTGTCCTATCCACCCTGGGCCTGGCCATTTTGTACTTTCTTTATCTCTCAATGTGACTGGCCCCTCCAAGGCAGGATCTTTGCTTTCTATATCTCCTGCTTAATACAGAGCAGTTGCAGAAAAAATTTTCTTCAGTGGAATTGAAGCCTCAAGTAGAGAGAATGGGATGGATGGGGGACAGATTTTCTGAAGTGTGACGAAGTCAGTCTATAGATTCTTCTTTGCCCTGCAGTCAGGACTTCTGTAAAGGATGCCCCAATTAATAGCAAAGCTTCAACCATCCTTCTGGTTGTTGGCCCCAGCTGCTGCTTCTGGGCTAATTTTATTTATTTATTTGTAATTTATACTCAGCCTGCTTCCAATAAGGTTTTGAGGTGGCACTCTGGGCTAATAAAACATTTAAATTGAGGTGTTGCCTCACTTCCAAAGTGCTGCCTTGATAGAAATATTTAGTGAGAAGCCTGGCTGCAGGGCTGTAAAAGCTAGGACTGCCATCCTGCCTGTCACTCTGATAGGTGGCTCCTTCCAAGGTGATGGGTGTCTGGGGAAGCCATTTAACAAGCTTCTCAGTGACGGGAACTTTGTGGGAGGAGGCCACCCTAATCCCCACCCTCAGCTTTTCTAGACTGCCATGGATTTTGCTGATGAGCCATAACTAGCCCCAAACACACAGACCTAGAAAAGGTTGAATGGATTGTAAAAGTCCCAGGATGGGAGTGTGTGGAAGCCAGGCAGGCCCTTACATGTCACTATAAATATGGGGACACTGAGTCCCAGAAAGGGAAGGGACTAGCCCAAGGCTCTATGGCCCCTTCCTAGCCTAGGCCAGCCTGCACAATCAGCAAGTATTCTCAGGGGCCCCTTGCAGCTCTGATGGTCCAAGAATCTACGATGAACCAATTTTCTGGACCTTAGGATTTCATGTAAAAATATTCCAAGATGCTTAACTTGGCAGCTAAAGTCAACATTTGAGAATTGTGTTACCTACAATAAAGTTGATATTTCCTCATTTATTGGAGTTTGTCTAGTCAGAAATCTGTGTTCTCAAACAGAAGGGGTTATTACCTTGTCACTTTTATGGCAAGTCAGTCTTCTTGGTCAATATCAATGACTATAGACTAGAACACAGCACTGTTTTCAGAAGCTGTTTTAATGTATTGGTCTGCTTATCCCTATGCTAAATGTCCCCAAGACAATTGTGCTTTTTGAGTTATGATGTCCTTTTAAATAGCTTTCCAGGTTTCTACCACACTGTCAAACTGCCTCTGTGAGCTTCCCTTATGAAGTTGCCACCTTCTAGACCACATGGTCCAGCACAAATAAAATACAAGCTACACATGTGGTTGTAAACATTCCTGTAGCCACATAAAAAAGCTCTTAAAGGTGAAATTAATCCTAATAACTATTTTATCTAACCCAATATATCAAAAAATGATGGTTTTAACATAGAATCAAACTATTCATGAGAAATTTTTACATTTTCTTTCCATGCCAAGTCTTTGAAATGCAGCATGCATTTTCACTTATGGCCCATCTCCATCTGGGCTTGTCACATTGCAAGTGCTCAGTAACCATCTGTGGCTTGTGGCTACCATATTAGACAGGACTCTGTCGTGGACTTCTGGATTTCTAGGTCTAGCTTCTAAGATTGCGTTTAGGTAAGACAAAATAAGACTTGAATTACTAAGGGGCTTTCCTAGTCCCAGAGGGCATGTTTGGTATTTGGACATAGAGAGACATCTCTTGGCTTGGCTGTTCATGGGGTTCTTTAATTGCTTACATCCTGGTTCTCAGCTATGATCCAGGCTGCAGCAATTGCCAGACAAGAGGTTGCCAGGAAAATGAAGCATTATTGCAACTTTATGGGAAAGAACAATTCTCTAATACCCGTTGCCTTTGGTAAGAAAAGTAAGCTCACGTTTTTTTTTACACAGCTGAAAAAGCTTTTTTTTTTTAAATTTTTTTTTCAACATTTATTTATTTTTGGGACAGAGAGAGACAGAGCATGAACGGGGGAGGGGCAGAGAGAGAGGGAGACACAGAATCGGAAACAGGCTCCAGGCTCTGAGCCATCAGCCCAGAGCCCGACACGGGGCTCGAACTCACGGACCGCGAGATCGTGACCTGGCCGAAGTCGGACGCTTAACCGACTGCGCCACCCAGGCGCCCCTGAAAAAGCTTTTTAAGAAATATAGACATATGACCTCATATATCGTGTGTACTTAGTCACATAACAGCAACTTTCAGAGTAATAGCATGGAACCAAATGGGCAGGGTGGACTCATCAATAAGCATGATCATCATCTTAGCCCAGATGGAGTCAGAACCCTGGGGTTCTTTTGCTCTTTGAAGTAATGAGTGCAGCCTGAAGTCACAGGCATCTGAGTTTCCTCGGTGCTCCTATGAGGCCCCTTTAAGTGACACACTCTCTCCTGGTACCCCAGTGACTCCCACAGTGCCCCCTCCCTAGCACACTGCACCAATCCAGCTGGATTACAGCGGGTTGTTAAAGCTTTTGCCCCCTTCCATTAGACCAAAGATACCTTAGAGACTAGAGGGAGTGAGATTTCTTCCATTTCTCTACATCCCTGCAGCCAACTTGGCACACTGCAAGTGCTAATAAATGTTTACTGAATTACTTAATGAATTAATGAAGTTGAAATCCTGCTGAAATGAAAAGGCAGTGAAAAACAGGTGCAATGCTCTCTTCCAAGAAAAACACAGGTGTTCTGTGCCTTATTCAAATAGCATGGGCCCCTAGCAAATGCCTGCCTCCATGTCTGCATGTAAAGTGAGAACTTTGGGCGGCTTCTCCTCATGGGCTCTGTCAGCTTTGTGAGTCTATGAGCCTTGGTGGCAAATGCCCCTGCAGCACAAGAGCCTTGCTCAGCTCCAGAGAGGAACATGGGGAGGGTGAACTGCCCTCTGGATGGTCATATAACTGATCACGCAAACCTGGACACTATTGAGAGTGAAAGGGGATGCTATTAACAATTTCTCCGGGCTGGCAGGTATAAACTGGGACTGGCCCTGGGGAAACTGGGAGGTGTGGTCCTCCTGCTACTGTTCCAAGGAGGCTTCCCCAGTGGAATCCCAGCAAAGCGCTCTGTGCAATGCAAGTGGCCTGCTCCATTAATGAGCCCTTGGTTATCCCAGTCTCAAGGTAGTCAACTGTTCCCTACTAGACTGTAAACCCCTCAGGGATCAGGGACTGTGTCCTCTCTATCCTCTCCAATCTTGCTCCACAATGTTGACTAGGGACCAGGTACATATAAAGATCCATGAAGACACAGCAAATGGAAGAAGTGAGCTTCTAGTCTCCACTGTTTGCTCACCCACCAACAAATACTGAGTAAGTACTTAATTTGAAGCAGTCCTTGTGCTGGGGCTCTGGTGAAACAGACATCAGTAGGAACCACAGGAAATTCCCAATCTGGTAGGCTTATAAATAAAGGAGTGCTAGAATAGAGATGAGTCATGACTGGGAGGGCCAAGCAGAGGGAGAGGTAGACTCTCCTTGGGATGGGAAAGGGGGTGGCGGAGAGGGTCATCATCACACGTTGGTAGTAATTCATTCCAGTATCATCTCTCTCTCTTCTGGTAACAGCGCCATGATGTTCCTGCCTCATCCATCATGCAGGTGGTATACCTGGGGCTGATCATGCCCTGGCTCTCAGGATGGACATGACACTTGAGCCTAGTCTGCGAGAGCAACATGCGCTCCTGGCCATGGGGGCCATTTTAAGCAGAGGCAGCAATGTTGGTGCTTCTACTGAAGCACTTAGGAAAGAGAAGCCCTCTTTATCCTAGGAAGAACAAAGCTCATAGAATACCAAGCCCAGAGATGCCCATGACAATCTTGTTACCATAAGGAGAGAAACTCTCTGAGAACGAAACCAACAAAATGGAAAGCAGAGCCAAGAGATGGGAAGATCTGATGGAATCATTTGAGATCCTGGATTCACCCGTGCCTAAAGCTGCTTACTGATAGACTTTTCAGTTTACTGAGCCAATACAGTCTGTCTTTATGTTTAAGCCAATCTGCATTGGATACAATCACAGTTGAAAGACTTCTAACAGGTAGAAGTTTCACGGAGAAGATGGTACTAACATCAGGTAGTGAATGATGATGAGTAGGAGCCCATTAGTCAGAGAAAGAGGTAGGGCCCTGCCTAGGGCAGGGGTGGAGGAAGAGGAGGAGCATAGGCATTGAAATATGGGGTGGCAATTCACATTGAGATACCCTGGGGTCAGGCCTGGGGACCTGGTCTGCTTTGGCTTACCCGTTTATCCTGCGCTACTCCATGCGGACAATTGTTGGCTGAAACAGAGAGTGTTATTGTCTCATTTAGGGAGGTGAAGGTGACTATGATGGAGTCCTGGCTCAGAACTGTCAGCTTAATTTGTTCATTCACCTGAAGATGAAGAAACCAATACTTAGTGGATCTCTGCTTCTGTTATCCATACCCCACTCCTTACTCTCCACAAAGCATAAAATCCCTCCTGGCTTGGGACTGAGATAGCTGTAAGATCTTTCCAGTTCTTATGTTGGAATTTAGCTTTCATGGAGAAGAAAGAATGCCAGTCTTTCTTTGGGGGATTGGCAGGAAAAGTAACTGATGCCTTCCTACCCCTGCCCCTTCACTTTCCAGCCCAAGCTTGGAACCAACTGTGAAAGAGACATAGGAGTCTACAGGCGAATCAGCTTTGGTTCTAGTAGAGTTGGGTGGAAATGCAGCTTGGGTCATAAGCCTACACTATATCTGAATCAGACAACGTGTCCACCCAGACACCAATTCTGACTATGAACCTTGGTCTAGAGCATGCAGAGCTGCCTTGGGAAGCTGACAACATGGCAGGAGGCATCAGAATGCACCCCTCCACGGGTGGGTGTGCAGATGACAAAAGGGAACCCAGCAGGGGCTGAGCCACACATACTCAGTCTTCTTCCCTCAATCACCACATATGTCACTACTCTTCCCCTGAAGAGGAGCCAAAGGAACCTACCCACCCCCGCCCCTTTTTAAAATCACTTCCCAAAGGGTGGGATTTTCTATGTAGCAATCCCAGATAGGAACAGGGAGAGGATGAGCTGCCTTTATAGCAACTCACTCCTTTCTGAGAATTTTGTGTTCTAGAAGTAAGTCTGAGTTCTGCCTCTGTTAGCAAACTACTGACCTTCTCTGAAGCTCAAATTCCTCAACAGGAAATAGGTGAAAGGCTAATATTAGGTTCAAATGAGATAAAGATTATGGAAGTGACAATGACCCATCACACACAAGAGCAGATACTGTCAGGATGTGTCAGCACAACTCCAGTGTGAGGTCCCTGGATGGTTCATGTGTACAGAGAGTGATGTATACACAGTGGCCCTACCTATGTAGGTACCTGTGTGGTGACGTGTTCTTCCATTTTCAAAGTCCCTGACCTACATGTACCCAAGGACTCCTCTGAACTAAGCAAATACTCTTCATTTTGTTTCTTCCATTTACTTCTACTATCCCACTTGTTGGCCCCAAGGTCTACACTCAATTTCCTCACCACTGAATCCCTTCCTTATACTCCGCAGTCTGAATGCTAGTACTCTCCAGCACCTAGAAAATATTTACTCCATGGCTGTCTTCTTGCCAAGCCTTTTGACATCTTCAAATTTGTTGATCACTTCCACTTAAGAAAAAACCCTACCCTCTCCTGTTCTCCTTCTAGAGACTGTAGTAGAGAGCTGTGGTTGACAGCTTAAGTGCTACAGCTGGACAGGGTTCAAATCCCAGTGTAGCTACTTACCAGAGGAGCAATTTTAGGCAAATTGGTTGGCTTCTCCGAGCCTGGGGACAGTAACAGAAGTTTTATCCTAGGGGACTGAGCAGATTTCCTGGGGTAAAACATGCACAAGTCTTAGCACAGTACAACTGTTATTTATTATCCCTGCTTCCTGGATGATTTCTCTACAAGCTCATTCACTGCTCATCTTCTTGGGAGTTCATGAGCCAGTCTATCACATATATCTGTCCTCTCTAATCTCTCACCCTTAGCAAGGATTAGGTCACAAAAGGCACTGAGCCAAATCAGCACATCTAAAACTATATTGATGTCCAATCCTTCAGAAATTTCTGTTTCCACCCAAGCACATACTCCACTGTGGAGTCATCTATACTTCTCTTTCCTCTCATTTATCCCTATAGCCTGTGCCTGAATGTCACTGAATCCTTCTATTGAAATGGCTCCTTTAAAATATATTGCTGCTGCCCTTCATCGTGTCAGACCTGGCTAGTAACTCCATAACCAGTCTTTGTACTATCCCATCCACTGATCTTTCCCTTACTAGTCAGCTTTCCACACAAATGCTGGACAAACCATGCCAGCCATCAACTTAGAAACTAACCGGCTGGTTATACTATACTTCCAGTATAGCTGAGTCAGCTCCTAACAGGCTGACCCTCCCACAGAACTTGAAAAAAAATACAAAAAAACCCCCAATGACCCAAAGGCTCTGATGAATAAACAAAAGCAGGCAAATTTTGAAGAATCAAAACTTAAAAGAAAGGGCTAGCATGGGATGAATTTCCACTCTACAGTTTTAGCCTGAAGGCAAACTGTAGTCATGGCCAAAACACTACCATCTTTCTGGCCCAGAGAACCAAAGGACTAAACCTGTGGAAATTACAATCACAAAAAAAGTAAGGAAAAAATTCCAGAAGGGACAGTGCCAAAGAAATAGATGCCCAAATCCTATGAATAAACCATCCATATCCCTGGCTAATCACTGAACCATGTATGAGTAGTGAAGACTCAAGACAGCTAACTGCTAGGGAATCAGAAAAGCTGAACTGAGATGTGAGCTCCTGCCCACTGTGGTAAGACAAAGTTTGGGACGTGAGTCTAACCAAGTTCACTGCCTGCTAAAACAAAACTGTTAACACACTTCAGAGAAATACATCAGAATTCAGACTCCACAATCCATAGATCCTCAGATAACCTACACAATGTCAGTGATCCAAAAGTACTCAACATGTAAAGAACTAGTAAAGTGTGAGCTATTCTCAAAATAACAGATAACCAATCCTGTCTGGTATGTCCCAGATGTTGAAATTATTAGACAAGAACTTTAAGGCAGCTAATTTAACTGTACTCAATGAAGCCAAGGAAATTATATTTGTAATAATGGAAAAAATAGGAAATCTCAGCACAGAAATAGACAATATAAAAAAAACCTCAATGGAAATTCTAGACTGGAAAATACATATTTGAAATAAAAAAATTCACAGGATTAGATTAGCATAATAGCAGAATGAAGATGTCAGAATAAAAATCAATGAACTTGGGAGATAGATCTATAGAAATTATTCAATCTGAGAAGAGAAGAAAATAGGACAAGAAGAAAGAAGGAGTATATTGAGACAATATTAAAAGCTATTAAAAAAAACATAATTGGAGTCTGGGGGAAAAGGAGAGAGATTGAGCACATTTTCCCCTAAAATAATGACAGAAGATTTCCCAAATTGGGTGAAAGACACGAATTTACAAATTCAAGTAAACCTCCAGCAGAACAAAGGCAACCACACCCGGACACATCATAGTCAAACTTAGAAGATCAAATTAAAGATGAAATCTTGAAAGCAGCTAGAGAAAATGAACGACGATTTGAGTAACTACAGACTTCTCATCATAAACTTTAGAGGATATACACAGTGGAACAGCATCTTTAAAATGCTGAAAGGAAAAAAAATTCTGTTAACCCAGAATTCCACACCCAGCAAAGATATCCTTTCATAAAGATATTTTTTCACATTAAAGCAAACAGAATTTGTTGCCAGCAGATCTGCACACTTCAATAAATACTAAGGGAACTTATTCAGGCTGAAGAGAAATTATACTATGGGGAAACTTGGATTTTCAGAGGAATGCAAAACCCTGGAAACGGTAAATATCTGGGTGAAAACAAACTGTCCAATGCAGTCTGCAAGACAATAAGCAAATTCCTCAGCCCAACATCCAATACCTCTTACCTCCACCCCACAGAAGATACACCTCCTGCTCCCTCTTTCTTTTACAAGAAGCACCTGTGAACTTTTTATTTTATTAAAAAAATTTTTTAATGTTTATTTTTGAGAAAGAGAGAGAGACAGACAGACAGGACATGAGTGGGGGAGGGGCAGAGAGAGAGAGAGGGAGACGCAGAATCTGAAGCAGGCTCCAAGGCTCTGAGCTGTCAGCACAGAGCCCGACGTGGGACTCAAACTCACAAACTGCGAGATCATGACCTGAGCCAAAGTCAGATGCTTAACTGACAGAGCCACCCAGGTGCCCCAAGAAGCACCTGTGATGCCATACAGAGTCCCAACTCCAAGTCTTTACAGATGCTATTCCTTCTACTCAGAATACTCTCCTTTCCTTCTATCTACATGAATCATATGCACACATGTTCACATTACAATTCAAGGGACACCTCATCTTTCAGACCACTCCTGACTGCACTAGCCCTTGTTATGCATTTCTAGATGCAGCTCCAGGGGACAGAACAATGAACTGAACTACACTGCCAAAACACTTTAGTGATGTCAAAGCAACTTCCCCGCCATTATTTTATTTAGTTCTCACAAAAGCACTTTGTATTGATGAGGCAACCAATACTCAGGAGCTGAGTGATTTTCACAAAGCTTCACAGCCAGAGTTGGCAAGGCTGGCACTACACATGGCTTCTTAGACTCTCATTCCAGCTCTCTGTCCACTTGGTCACACTGATACATAAAACATGGTGCCTGTCTGCCACCAATTTATAATCTTTATGGATTATAAACTTTTCATAGAGCTGGAAAAAGTTTAATATTAAGGCAACAATTCAATATACCCCTAGATTGACAATCTCAGACCTGGCCAAGCATCAGAAGTACTTGTGACAACTACAGAAATCTAGCATTCTTGACAGACCACCTGAATCAGAATCTCTCTGAGGCTATGCCTGGGCATCTGCATTTTTTAAAGTTCCATAGGTGGTTCTGATAAGCAACCAGAGCTGAGGACCTCTTCACTGCATGACTAATATCAAATAACTAACCCAGACTGTGAGTACTATGAGAAGAGACAAATGGATGTGGGCTGCAGTGCCATGATGGAGGGGAAGTATGAGCAGGGCTGTGAAGGAGGGGAAATTTGTATTGGTAGAGAGAGGAGGGAGAACACTTCAGGCCTATTCCCTAATAGGAAAGATGAGATATATTTAAGAGATTGAATGTTTCTGAGCAGAGGTGTGATCTATGGGAATTAGGATACAAGGATGAGAATCCAGTGGCCAATTTAGAGGATGAACAGAAAGGGCACAAGACAGACAATTAGGGGTAGGGTGCCTGAGCCCCACCGCATACTCCTAGAGTACTTCTGTCCATAATCCTTACCTTGAGGCTCTAAATGTCAGGCCACCTTGAGTATATTCTATGTTCTGTGATCTTTCTCTGAATTCCAACCCTATGAGCTTGTTTCTTCTCTCTCACAGCCCTTATTCTTCTCTATCCTGTGTTCTTATTACTCTCCTGGACTTTGGGATTCCTTGGGGAGCTTTGCTGATCTTTCTACCCCCAGATCAGTGATTCTCAATCAATAACAACTTTCTCCTCCAGGGGACATGTGGCCATGTGTGGAGATATTTTTGGTTGTCACAGTTTGGGGAGTGGATAGTACTGGCATCTGATGGAATGCTGATAAATATCCTACAATGCATAGTTATAACAAAGACTTATCTATCCCAAAATGTCAGTTCTGCCAAGGATGAGAAAGTCTGCTCTAGATAAAGTAACAAGCACATTTAGTTGCTTTATTAATAAATTAGATTTATCATTATTATTTCGTATTAGTAATTCCACACTAATTTATTATTTAATGAATCTTTGATGAGTGGCTGTCTGAGTAATCAAATGAATAATAAAGGAGGGCTTGTGTTTGTCAGCCACCTTTGACTTTCATGACATAGTAACATTATAAAAACAGAAGCTGAGAAGACCAACATAGAATTGCTAACTTTTCTTATTGCCATGTATAGGCATCAAAAATAAAGACAGCAACTACTATAACAGTTATTTCATAAAGTGAAGGGCATTTAACCATCAAAATGTAGTAATATTAAATAATAAAAATAAAAAAGGAGGGATATTACTAAGAAAGTCAGTATGGCAGCCAACAGTTACTGTAGACTGGTGAAAAGTTTACCTCAGCCAGCTCCCAACCACTGTTCATCAACTGGGGAAACTCTGAATGAGACCATAAGCTCCTTAAGGGAAAAGCACCTGTCTTACAGGTAGCCCTATGACTCTTAATGCTGGGCAGTCTGAGGAAGACTGCCAAAGCCACCCCACTTGTGCTGTCCATGCCCACCTGATATTCCAGGGAGAGCAAAGTCTCTGTCTTGGAAGTCCAGCTCCACTTGTGGACTACGTAGCCCTTGTAGTCATTGGTGGTCCCACCTTCCTCATCCAAGACCAAGACAAATGGGCAACTAGGAGAAATTCAGAGGTGAGAAGTTGATGCCAGGCCCCTGAAGGAAGCCCTCATCACTATAGGCTACAGGAAGGCAGGGCTCTGAGACACTGTCTTGGGCTGAAGGAACCATGAAGTCCAGCAGGCAGCCTCACTTCCTCTGCCTAATGTGGTCTTAGGCCCTTTCACCTGTTGATGCTACTGGAATGTCTGTCAGAAAGGGCAGGTCTGAGAGATGATGGAGGTTCAGGCCACATCCAACAGGGGAAGAAATAGAATGTGTGTCCTGTTGCTCAAAAGCTGGAGCATACAGGTGACAAAATGGGAAATGGAACATCTATAATGCAAGAGTCATTCCTTCTGAGAACAGTTCCTCATGAAAGGCCAAAATAAAATCAGCTTTTGGCTGACAAGAATATGTGCCTCTCTTAAAAGACCCCATGGAAGTGGTACCCATGGCCTCTCCTTCACTTACTCCTGGTATAAAAAAATTTTCTCTACTAAGTAATTCTTCTAGGAATTCCATCCAAGTCAACAATCAAGATCTTAGTGCCCTGGGGGTATAAGTGAGGAGTAGGACTTTGGGAATTGCCCCTCTCTTTTGCTATGACATGGATCCAGCAAGCAAAGGTCGGGCATCAAAATACCTACACCCTGCAGGCCCTACTTTAACCCTGTCTCACTGCCCTCCTAGACCTCTGGACATTGATGGCCCCTCCTTTTCCCATGGTGCCTCCCTTTGTCACCATCAAAGATACTTCTATGGGGCCAGGATTCCCCCAACCAACTCACCGGGCCTTCAGGTTGTAGTGAACACAGCCCTGGCCTTCAGCATTGAACAGAGCCAGAAAGGAGAAGCTGGGTGTGTCATTAAAGAGGCAGGTGATGGTTCTCCCTCTGCAGCACGTGGGGATCTGACACATGGCAATATTTCCAGAAGGATAGCTGGCAGAAATGGTCAAGGAGAAATAGCAGAAAACTCTCCGGGTTCTGCTTTCAGGTGCTCCATGGAAAGTAAGTCTACATGTCAAAATGATAGCTATTTGGTGCATCATTCCCAGTCTTCAAAGACCCTCCCTGCACTTTGCATAAGTAACAACTAAATGACTATGGAACCCAACCATGCCCCAGGTGCCTTCTTGTATCTTCTTTCTATTCCTCACAACCTACCTGTGGTAGGTAGTATTATCTCCATCTCAGAGATGAGTAGGGTCTCTCTGTGTCTGGGGGTGCAGGTGGGGGGTGGTTCCTGGGATGTGGGACTTTCAGTGCTAAAACCAGGAAAGTCCCAGGCAAACCAGGACAAGTTGGCCACCCTACAGATGAGAAATCCAAGGACCAGAGAAATGATCTTCCCACGTGACACCACAAGGAAGTGGCAGAACCAGGACCTGAATTCTAAAGCCAGTGATATTTTTAATGTTGTCAGGCTGCCTTCCCTTACGATCAGTCTAGAAGAGCAGGCAATGTTTCCCTGCTCATTTCCTACTAAGGTGACTCCAAGAAGCACTGGTCTCAGCTAAATGAGAACATGGTGTGGGCAGCTACTGTAGGAATTTCAGTAGTGCCCAGACAGAAGACTTTCAGTGGTCATCACTGTGGTTCAACCTCTTACGGGTTTCCCATTAATGGGGGAAAAAGAGATAAACAGATAGGAATCATAAGTAGTAACCAAATAGAAATTCTGGAGCTGAATAGTACAATAACTAGAATGAAAAGTCACTAGCTGGGTTTAGCAGCAGATTGAAGCAGAAGAATCAGTGAACTTGAGGATAGATCAATTGGGTTTATCCAGTGTGAGAAGCACAAATTAAAAAGAATGAAGAAAATTTAACAGAGCCTAAGAGACCTATGGCAGACCATCAAAGATATCAACATATCCATAACAGGAGTTCCAGAAGGACAGGAGAGAGGAGAGAAGAAAGAATATTAGAAGAAATAATGACTGAAAGTTCCACAAATTTGATGAAATACATGAATCTACACAATCAAGAAACTCAACAAATTCCAAGGAGAATAATTCAAAGAGTGTCACACTGAGACACGTTATTATCAAACTGCCAAAAGACAAAGAGAGAATCTTGAAATCAGCAAGAGAAAAGAGACTCATCATATACATGGGATCTTTAATAAGGTTAAGGGCAATTTCTTATCAGAAAACATGGAGGCCAGGAGGCACTGGGATAGAATATTTAAAGAGCTGAAAGAAAAACTGCCAACCAAGAATTCTATATTGAAAAAAACTATCCCTCAAAAATTAAGAAGAAATTAAGGCTTTCCAGATAGATAAAAGCTGAGGGAGTTCACCACTAGTAGACCTACCCTACAAGAAATGCTAGTTCTTCAGGCTGAAGTGAAAGGATACTAGACAGCAACTTAAAGCCATACAAAGAAAAAAAGAACACCAGTAAAGGTGTTTATATAAGTAAATATAAAACCAGTATTATTATATTTTGATTTATAATTCCTCTTTTTTCCTGTATAAGTTGAAAGACAAATGCACAAAACAGTAATTGTACATCTATGTTAATGGCACTCAATGCACATATAAAGATGTAACTTCTGATAACAACATAAACGAGGAAGGATGAACTGTATAGGAGCAGAGTTTTATATATTATTAAGCCTAAGTTGGTATTAATTCAAACTAGTTTCTTGTCAATTATAATACTCAAGTGTATTAGTTTCTTGGGGCTGCTATAACATCCAGGTCAAACCTGATAACCTGAACAACAGAAATTTATTCTCTCACAGTTTTGGAGGTTAGAAGTCTAAAATCAAGGTGCTGACAGGACCATGATCTTGGGGGCTCTGGAGAAGAATCCTTCCTTGCCTCTCTGTAGTTTCTGGTGGTTGCCAAGAATCTTCAGCATTCCTTGGTTTATAGATGCATAATTCTAATCTCTGCCTCAGTCATCACATGGTCTTCTTCCCTCTTTGTGGTCTCTGCTTTCTCTTCTTAAGGGTACAAGTCATTGGATTGGAAGCCAATAATGACTTCATCTTAATTTATCTTCAAAGACCCTATTCCCAAATATGATCACATTCTGAGGTTCTAGTGAACATAAATTTTTAGGAGACACTATTAAAGTCCATTATACAAGAGTAACCACTAAAAAAATAACTAAAAAATATGGGGCAAAGAAAATGAGAAAAGAATAAAAATGGAATGCTACAAAAAAATCAGTTAAACACAAAAGAAGGTAATAATAGAGGAGCTGAGGAGCAAAAAAATGACATATATAAAACGAATAGTAAAATGGTGGAATTAAGTCCTTTCATATCAGCAATTACATTAAATACAAATGGATTAAATTCTGCAACCAAAGAGCAGGGATTGTCAGAATGAATTAAAAAAAATCCAACTATATGCTGTCTATAAGAGGTTTACTTGAAATCCAAAGATACAACTATGTTGAACGTCAAATGATGGGAAAAAATATATTCCATGCAAATAGTAACCAAAATAGAGCAGAGGTGGCTATACTGGTATCAGAGAAAACAGATTTTAAAAATTTCTATAAGAGACAAAGAAGGACATTATGTATTGAGAAAAGGGTCAATACCTAGAGAAGATACAATTATAGACATATATACACCTAACAACAGAGCCCCAAAATATATAAAGCAAAAATTTACAGGATTAAAAATAGAAAAAGTTTTAAGTTGGAGACTTAAAAAGTTAAAAGTTGGAGACTTCACTACTTCACTACCTTACACAGAAGGTCAATACAGAAAACAGAATTTGAACAACACTATAAACTAACTAGACCTAACAGAACACTCCACCCAACAGCAGCAGAATGCACATTCTTCTCAAGTGCATAGGACCATTCTCTGATAGAGACAATATGTTAGGACACAAAACAAGTCTCAATAAATTTTAAAAGATTGGAACCTTAGAAAGTATCTTCTCGGACAACAGAATGAAACTAGAAATCAATGGCAGAAGGATATTTGGAAATTTCTCAGGTGCAAATTAAACAATACACATTTTAAACAACCAATGGATAGAGAAGAAATCACAAGGAAAATTAGAAAGATGTGTGAAAACAAAAATACAACACATCAAAACTTACAGGATAAGACACGGGAATGAGGTTGGAGGACAGAGTCCATGGGAATGGCACAGAGGCCAGGAATGCTGCCAACACCTGGCCCAGGTCAGTGAGAAGCCCTGGGGACCCAGCCGAGCCTGCTGCTCCTGTTCTCCAACATGCACCTCACAGGGAATGACCCCCAACTAGGTGCCTACTCCTACATTCAAGGCGACCTGATAGGTTTTCTGTCAGATGTTCCACTGTAATAATGCTGGAGTTATGAAGTCTCTGTTTCTTTGCTCCAAAACAAGACATTCTTCCCTGCATATAGAATAGGAGTAATGTTGGTCAGAATCTGGCTGGTGTTTAAAACTGAAGATTGTCATGACTGCTTAATGTAAGCTCTATTCTGAAGTAAAATTGTCTTAGAAATACTAAGTCACTTTAATTCGTAGTGCTCAAAGAATCATCCACACAGGAACACAGTAATACTGGTGACCCAAATTTGCTTTTGGAACCATGAAACTTTGCTCGTTTTTGACTTTGACAATATAATCACAGATGACAATAGCGATGCATGGATTGTACAGTGTGCTCCAGAGAAAAAGTTTCCTATGGAACTACAAGATTCTTATGAAAAAGGATTTTGGACAGAATTTATGGGCAGAGTCTTTAAGTATTTGGGAGATGAAGGTATAAGAAAAGATGAAAAGAGCAGTGACATCAATGCCTTGGTGAACTTTACCTTATAAAAAGGATAAATTTGGCTGTATCATTATTTCAGATTCAAATTCAGTCTTCATGGATGGGGTTTTAGAAGCTACCAGTTTTCATGATGTGTCAGACAATATGTTTATAAATCCAACATCTTTTGATAGCAATCGTCATCTCTCTGTGAAAAATTATCATGCTCATTCTTGCAATAGGTTCCAAAAAAAATATTTGCAAAATGTAGTTTTGGTAGACAAACGGTTACAAGAGGGAGTGAATTATACATGAATGGTTTATGTAGGTGATGGTGAAAATGATGCCTTTCCAGTAACTTTTTTAAAGAATGATGATGCCATGCCACAGAAAGGATATACTTTACAGAAAACTCTTTCCAGAATGTCTTAAAATCTTGAACCTATGGAATATTCTGTTGTAGTTTGGTCTTCAGGTGTTGAAATAATTTCTCATTAACAATTTATTTATTTTTTTATTTTAGAGAGAGTCCATGAGTGGGTGAGAGGGGCAAAGGGAGAGAGAGAAAAACCCAAGCAGGCTCCACAGTGTAGAGCCTGATGCAGGGCTCAATCCCATGACTCTGGGATCACAACCTGAGTCAAAATCAAGAATTGGATGCTCAACCAGGTGAACCACCCAGGTGCCACCACAGTTTCTAATAAAGGAATAATATACCAACAACAATGAAAAACTTATGGGATAAAGTGAGAACAGCGGTCAAGGAGAAATTTATAGCTGTAAATACCCACACTGAAAGAAGAGGGGCGCCTGGGTGGCTCAGTTGGTTAAGCGTCCACTCTTGATTTCAGCTCACATCATTATCTTATGGTTCGTGAGTTCGAGACCCACATCCAGCTCTGCGGTGACAGTGTGAAACCTGCTTGGGATTCACACTCTCTCCCTCTCTCTTTGCCCCTCCCCTGCTCACTCTCTATCTCTCAAAATAAATAAATAAGCTTTTTAAAAAAGGGAGAGAAGAAAGATCTCAAATAAATAACCATAATTACCACTTTAGGTACTAGAAAAAGAAGAGCAAATTAAAGTTAAAGCTAGCAGAAGGGAAGAAATAATAAAGATTAGCAGAAACAGAAACAAAATAGAGAACAGAAAAGCAACAGAAAGAACCAACAAAACCAAAAGTTGGTTCTTTGAAAAGATCGACAAAATTGAGAAAACTGT